AAGTACCCCCTGATCCAAAGCCTTCCCAAAGCCCTGTCTCTGAACATATGAGATTTTTGGAGGACACTTTAAAGTAAAACCATAACATCTCATAAAATTATTATTTTTGTTTATTTTTACAGGGCTGGGTATGGAATTCAGGGCCTTGTTTATGCTAGGTAAGCCTTCTACCACTGAACTAGTTCCCAGCCCAGATATTTTTAAAATAGTTATTTTGTTTGAATATTAATCTGAACAAAGTCCAGAACTTGGTTGATATATTTCTTCTGTCTTATAAAAAGTAATTTTTTTTTCCTGTTAGTTGTTTGTTGAAGAAATTGAGTTGTTCCACCAAACAGAACCTCTCACATTCTGGATTTTGGTTGTATCTCTCAGGTATCATTTACTGCAAAATTTGTGACAGGGGCTCCAGAAGATGACAATAGCATTAATTATCAACAAATACTTAATGACTGCTTACTAGGTGGCACATTGTGAAATGCATTATTTAGAAAAAAATTTAATTCTTCAAATACCTAGAAGTACAAAACAAAATTTTGATGTGATTTTTCAATTTTGTAATTTAAAAAGTATGATATTAAAAAAGTTTATGCAGATAATCAGAAATAATTCAAGTAACTTTTAAAGAATTACATAATTTAAAATAATAAGGACTAATTTACAACTTTGTTTATAGCAATGACATGTAGTGATCCCATTTTAAACTTTTTGGTGATAGAAATATTTGTTCTTTTTTAGAATTAATTTTATTTGGGCTATTTTAAAATTGCATAAGAGTTTATGAATGCATTGCTTTACTATAATGTAATGAAACTATCATATTTTCTTTCCACAGTATTTCATGGGGAAGGAATCTGAGAGGGGTGGTGTTTACATATTTTTATATGACTGGCCATATGCTATTCAATATAACCCTTACATCACATACAAACATACATACAGTCACCTACAAAAACTATGTCTTTATCTCATCCATGCATATATAGACTTCCCTACTTCAGCATCCTCCACTGTAGTGGTACATTTGTCACAACTGATGAACTCACATTAACACATCATTATTACCCAAAATCCATAGTTTACATTAGGGTTCAAATTAGGACAAAACCATAAGGACACATATTCACCATTATAGTATCAAGTAATTTCACTGTACTGTGATTTCAATTTCTCTATAGCCTACATTTTCAAAATCTTCCTGGTCCATATCTCTTGTATGTAACAGTTTCTAGTCTGCATTTTAAGTTATTCTTCTATTTTTATTATTTTTTCTTTTTATTAAGTTTATTGGTACAATCTAGGTATACAATACAATTACATTCATCACTGGGATTCTGTACCTTTACATGACAGGTCTTGATTCTCATTTTTTCCCCTTGTCCCTGCCCTCCCTTCACCCCCTCCTCCCCTCCCTATTTACAAACACTTTATTTGCATATTTTCAGTTTCTCATATTTTTTTCCTCTCTCTTATTACCTTTCCCCCACCCTTCCCACTTTCCCTACACCTTTAGCCCTTTACTTCCTATTTCACATTATTAATTATCTCATTAGGCTCCTGTGTACTATTAAAGTTTTTCAAGCCAAAGTATTTCAGTTAAAGAAATCTCTGCATGAACATTAAAAATAGGGAATCCTAAAATAAAATTAAAAAGGAAAGTAAAAGAGAAAAGGCAATGATGTACCATTAAAATAATCCTTAATTCTGGAGATGAAAATGGTCCCTGAACATAATTAAATTGCTTCTCTCTCTTATAGTCTTATTCTTTTTTTCATTATTTAGAGAATACTTTTCTGTAAACAAACCCATGTAGATAGACCTTACATATTTAGTACGATGTGTTACCCCTGTACACACGGAAAAAAAATAAAAATAAAAATAAAAAAAATTTAACATTTCTAGACCAATATGGTTGTCCACTTCTGTACAATGCCAACTCAACACAGTAAATTGGGATGACTTTTTCCAAAGTTGGCAGCACCGTTAAAGTTTCCCAAAATTCAATTTATATATA